CCTGCATTTCGCGCACTCGACACGCACGATCTCCGCAGAGGGTTGCACTTTCGGTTGACGCTGTTCGTCCCGCCCTCCGCCTTTAAGAGAGAATTATTAAAGTGGGGAAATGTTTTTTCATTAGGACATCTCCCGTGCTAGTTTTCCATACTCACACTTGCCTACTCATTGCATGCTTGCATGCTCAAAGCATGCTTGCGTACCCATCACTTGTATACTTACTTACACTGCGTGCTTACCGCGTGTCAGTGTGTATGTGTAAGTGTCAATGTCGAAGTGTCAGTGTATGTAGTGCGACTGTAGTGGAAGTGTCAGTGTGTAAGTGTAAGTGTCGAAGTGTCAGTGTTCAAAGGATTTTCCGGAAGAACCCTTCGCAATGCTTTCGGGAAAAAATATACGTGATACGTGAAATGATGAGGTTTTTGCAGCGGTTGCTGAAAACCCTTCAGGAGGTCGGTGAATAATGAAAGAACAAAAGGTGAACAACATCTATATATAATTTGTTATTTTATATAATCCTTTTCATCAACATCTTAACGTTTGGATGTCTTTATGACGAACAAGGAGGAGTTCTGGAAACGACTGATCTTTTCTTGACCCATGGACCATGACTCTAGACCTGCCAGGTCTTCCCCCACATCTTTGGGAAGATGCTTTTTGAATGCATTTGGGGGACCCGGGGGCAGGTGTGGGACATGCTCGTTTTGCAACCAAATCGCAGCAGACCTGAGGGTACCTTCATAAAAATGTGAGTAAGAAAGTCGTCTTGTTTATTTTCTGTGGCAACGACTGACTGCTTCAGTTTCAGAGTGTCCCCTGGTTCATTTCTCTCTGAAATGGGTCTATCTCAATCCAGGCATGCGGTCACCCAAGTCAACTCGCCAAGTCAACACGACTTGAGTTTCACCCCCTGACTCAGGTAGATCTCATAAGATGTCATCAGGAAAACCAACCACAGCCTTATGGCGGTGTGTTTACCCCAACCACAGCCTTCCACCTTCTGTTTTTTTCCCACCGCTCCTTGTCATGTCTACGAATCGTCTCCCGAGACACAGCAAACTGCGCACAGCAGTAGGGGCCTTGTTCGTGTTGAGAACATGCGAGACTGAGACTTGGCATGCTGGATTTGGGTCATATCACTGGTTGGTGAGATGAGTTGGTGAATGCTGAAGCTGCAGGGCAGGTTGGTTGGAAGACCACTTTGTATCAGGCGCGGACTAAGGGAAAACAGGGCATGGCCAAAACTTGCCGGAAGCAGTGCAAACAATGCCAGGAACTTGGAGTCTCTTCAAACACGTTGCATTCCCCATGCGAAAAAACAAAAAAAACAGGCTGTCGATGGCTCAAGTGTATTTGGGAGGAGTGGAGCATTTCCAAAACGCAAATCCGGAAACTTGTCTAAAGATTAATGAACATTAGCAGTAGCATCTATCGGCCGGTGCGGTGATGTTCGGTACAACCTACTAAACCGCAAAGGAATGTGATCTTCCAATCTTCCCGTTGGGTGCGTGTGGGTCCTAGGTAGCTTAGGTAGCAGCCTGTGGATTGGACTGCTCAAAGACTTAATTCTCATTCAAGACCGCCACATATCGCCACCATGAGAGGAACGATGTCTATCTATCACAGAACACACTAGAACCCTGAGAGTCCAGTCATGACTCATGTTAACCCTATGGAATCTACATTTGGCACAGTCACCAAAATTATGCTCACCTGCAAACATGCCAATCACCACGGTAGAGACTCACGTGTAAAGAAGCTAGGGCAGCGTTCCGGCCGAGTTGGCATATCTGACACACGTGAGCCTCATGATGATTCACGTGAGCTTTATGTTTGCATGCAGCGAGGTGTTTTCAGATTTGAGGGAATGGCTCAAAGAACACCTGGTGAAGGATAGCCAAGGACGCCCCGGTGGTCGCCTAGATCACGCCATGGTATTACCAAGGCCGGGCGCCTCAATTCAGCCTCAATTGTTGTCCCGGGCGCCCAGGAGCTCTGTCAGATTTGCTTGGAAGATCTCCTGGTCACTGCAAAGCACCGCACCACCCGACATGCGGCCACCCAACATGGATGACATCTTTAGGATGCCTGGCTGTTGATATGTTGACTGTTGCGTCTATCATGGTCTATCCTAATGTTGATGGACTGTGCGACCTAAACAAAGGGGTCTTCCCAGCAAGTGTCCACAGCATAGCTTTATTTCTGACATGCATTATCGCCGATTCCCCAGAAGCGCGGAGGTTTGACCCATTGTCATTGGGAGACTTTTAGAATCTTTCAGTGGTAGTTGATTCCTTGAATATCTTCATCTCCTCGTGGACGGCTTGCAAGCAGGGCGTCAATGTCCGCACATGACGGGGTCCATTCCTGCAGTTCGGCTAGCTTCCCCAGTGGCAGCAGTGCCATCGTACAAGTGGCTGCAGTCAAAGCTGCTTTTGAAAAGAACGTGGGTTTTAATAACAGAAAGGAACGCTGTGGGGGCCTGCGTTTTCAAGTGTTTCTAAAAAGCTATTGTTTTGAATAAAATGCCTTTACTTCTTTTCTTATATATTTTAATTTGTTATATATTAAAAATAAAGTATTTGTGAAACAATAACCAAAGCTTATGTGCCACACAATGTAGGCAAGGAACAAGGACCTCTCAATCTGAAGGTGGAAGAGAGGGATCTCTGGGGGGGGAAGCAAAAAAAAACATAAAGAGCATTTGGCAAAGGCTGGGAGGGGGGGTCGACATTTTCCTTTTTGCGACCCCCCCCTCCAGATCCACATTAGGAGCCTCTGCAAAAGACTAGGAGGGAGGATTGAGGGGGAACGGTCGACCCTCGCCCTCCAGATTAGTATCCTTTGGCAAAGGCTGAGAGGGAGGGTCTACCAAAAGAAAACAAAAGTGGGTCGACCCCCTCCTCCAGATTAGGATTCTTTGGCAAAGGCTGGCAAGTCTAGTAGAGCAAAGTGATAAAAGCATTTTTTTTCATGTTGAAACTAATTTTCACAATGTTTGAAATGTATACAACTGACTTTAAACTGAAGCATGCTGGTATTACAGTATAGTGTGTTACGATTGATGTGTTCACCATCAAAGCTGAAGATCAAAAGAACCCAAGTGAGTGGCTTTTATCAATAAGATTGGAGAGTGAGCAAGTATGTGGATATTAAATTACCTAATTCACTTCACCAAGTTGTAGAAAATCAAACTGTAGAAATGTCAACATCTAAAGATAGATACATTGAAAATGATGAGTATGATACTGATACTGATGATATTGTTAGTGACATTGAGAAAGTAAACCAGGTAATGATTAGGATATTACTTGCAGGAGCAAGCAAACGTCGTATCTGCCAGAAAATGGTTGATAATGGTTGCACAATATTATTTGTATGGCCTACTAATAGGTTATCACATTACTTTAAAGTTGATACCAGAAAGATCAATAACAATAATTTTGGTCAAAGTTTAGCTTAGCTGCTTCACTACTCTTAGCATCAATTATGTTGTTCTTGAAGCTGGAACATGTGCTGCAAGACCAGCTGTTTCACTACAGACTTCATATCCTTTGTGTAACATGCCCAAATATAGTAAAAACACACACAAAAACACTGAACAACACGGGCCCTCACAGCGTTCCTCTCTCTTTAATAAAGGGTGTCCCATCAATCGGAAATCTGATGCACTGATGCACTTCCAACTTGAAGACTATATGTTCACATCCAAGCCCTTCTCAACCCAGTAACAGCGGGAGGAAGGACGTGTTGTAGGTGCCCGCCGCAATACTCCTGCAGCACGACACATCGTAGGCAAAACCACTGGCCCTCGCATGGTCGCTCAGTATATCACCGAACACACAGCCTCAGCCCCAAGTAGTACTGCCAAGTAGCTTCTTGTTACTAGTAGCGATGCCATGAGAGCGAACACAGGCGTCTCAAAGCCGCAAAGCCCTCCGAGATGGACCACTACACCTCATCCAATCATGTGCTTCTGGATGACCTGATGACCAAAACGGCCGACAAGGGATGATCCCTGTGTTGTTTTGCAAGGAAGAAAGGTCGGAACAATACCTCACGTATTGAGGACAGTCTGGGCGAGCAACCCCCATCAATCCATCTCCACCCAAATTCATCACCAACAGGGCCGATTGGGACCCTGCACTGAACAACTGTCATGTATCATCATGCTCGCAGGAATTCAGGTGACCAGTGATTACTTTGCATGAAAATGAATCACTGATCATCACTTCACCTTTGGTCCAATTTTGTACATTCTTGACACGTTCTATACTACCTTCAAAAACAAACAACTCCTGGCCAAAAGCGGAGTGCTCCGCACTACAAAAGCCTGGTGTGAAAAAAAAACTATATACAGAAGAATCCGCTTCTTGCGCCACAAATTCGTTCAGGCTTTCAAACACCACTCCGACACTGGTTGCTTGACCTCTTCCCCCCAAAGAAAAATTGCATGGGCCCCGGCGAGACCTGGCGTCTCTGCAAATGTCCGGCGGTCCTTAGGACCAGATCCAGAAACTCGAAGTGAAGATGATCCATCGGATCACTTTGCAAGAAGATCCTCAGATTGAGCCGAGTCGAGTCGATGCTTCCGGATCAACGCTCGGCCGAGTCGCAAACACCTGGCGAAATCCTCTTCTGAGAACGGGTTCGAACCCGGTGGGAGATAGATCGAAGGGATGGCAGTGGAGGCAGTGAAGGGACCAAAAGCAGTTTGCCAGTTCCAAGAATGGGCACTCAACACCATTCATTTGACACCCAGGGCGCCATCGCCGGCTTCGCCCGCCCCCATGGGTCCTAACAAAAAGCACTGGACATGACACGCGGGGAATTTGGATGAACAAACATGTGGCATGTGGAATGGCCCCGACGTGCCAAGGAATGTTCACTTGTAGATGAGGCTGATCCTGGGGCAGGAACCACGGAGGCTGATCCTGTGCTTTTGATATGTGCATTTCTCTCACCATGCTCTTTGACAGCTCTTTGTCCACACTAGGCCAATATAAACACGCAGTTGTGTTAAGATCCTGGGCATTACAGGAGGTTGAAAGTCTAGAAGTTCCAACATGTCGCAAAGAAATCTAATCCAATCTGGCCATATCTGGCCAAACCAATCTGAATCCTTGCTTCCACACCTGTTCCAGCCATGATTCTACGTCATTTCTCTCTCTCACACTGCTCCCCTTACTCCTCCTCCGCCGGAGCACGTCTGGTCCGCCAGCCGGTCGTAATGGCCCAGGATGTGGGTCAAATAGGCCGAACATTCATCACCCCGCGCAGCACCTGGTCCGGCGCCCGACGGGTCAAGTGGGTGGTCCTCATGGTGCTTTCAAAGTGTCGGAGCTCCGCTCTGGCCGTCCGGAATGACGGAATCACTGAAAAGGTCGCTCTTGAGCGGCCCAGGGTATGCTAGGGCCCAAAACAAAAAGAACTTGAGCCACATCTTCCACATGCTCCATCACGACCGGCACACCGCCACGACCACAGCCAAAACGACGACCGCCGTGGTACGGCCTATGTCGGCTCGCTCGATCTGGTGGATGGCCTCGCAGAAATGGCATCGGCTGGGTATGGGGTCGGTGGGTATGGGGTCGGTCGCACATGTCCAAAAACTTCTCACTTTGCAGGGGTCCAGAACCTCACCCTGGGAAGAGAAGTCTGTCGCATGACCTTTTTGGCCCAAGTAGTACATAGTAGTACTATAACTACTACTAGCTTCGCGATCCTAGTAGCGATGCTCTTTGTTCCTAGTATAGCTTCTTGTTACTAGTAGCGATGGCCTCCAACCTACTTGCGATGGCCTCTACCTAATAGCGTCCTAATTGAACGCTTGTGGAAACTCCTCATCATTTGGGTTTCATCGCAATCGACGATCGCTTTCTTGCTCGACATCGCTTGCAATCGACGCCTGAAAATGCCCGGCGGGCAGCTTTTGTGCCAGTTCTTCTGGTGCAATTGCTTGGCCGCATTTCTCGTAGACCAGGAGCCTCCGGTTGCGTAAAAAATTATTGTGGAGCAAGCTGGAGTGGTTTTCAGGCATGCCGGTATGCCGTCTACCTAAACCCAACTGTGGGTGTGTATCAAAATAGGGAAACCTCCCAGTTCGACCCCCCGGAAGAAGGGAAATAGACCAGTCTACCCCACTGGTTGGAGGTCTCCCCAGCACTAAGTGCACACCCATATATTCCCCTAGGGCTCCACTTGTACATCGTCACTATTCAAACACCCTTCCAAACACCAAAACGAAACGGAGCACACGGGGCCTTTGGGATGGAAGGTCGTTATTTGTACATGATTGTGCCACCATTCAATCATGGGTCTATCCGACTATACCAGCAAAGGTATTGTTCAAATGGTTTACTGATTGATATACACCCTAGAAGTCCAAAGACTATTTTTTGACCAACTGAAGTAAAGCATATTCCTTTTCGGGTCACCTAAAGGCCATTCTTTTGATAGTCTTTGACTCCCAGGGTACAGGTAATAGAACAGACCCAAATTCAATCCATTATAACTGCTGGGCTTTCATCGGAACAATGGGTCCTTTGGACCCTCCTGCGTTCTGAAAAACCTTCATCGGAGAGCCGGCATGGAGCGAGCACATCGCACTCATCGGATGTTTCAATGGAGCCAGTCCATGCCGTCTTCGCCCACATCTTGATGTCCGAAAAATCTTTGGATACGCTGTTGAGGGAGACTCCTCCGCATTCTTGTGAAATCCGCTGTTCTGACCCCGACTTTCTTTGTAAAAAACATGCTATAGGCCACCTCCGCGATCACCGCCTTCGCCTTGCCGCGTAGACCGCGTTTCGCGTCGCTTTTCCTCCCGTGCAGATCTCCGGTCGGCCTGGCCCCAGGGGGCACGCGGGTGAGGCGCTTGCTTAACCAAGCGAGATCTTCTCGACAGTGAGCCACCACGAAGTCGACCCTCGCAGGTGGAGCCGGTGGAAAAGCTGGGCGAAGGAGCGAAGCTGGTGAAGTTCTAAAGTCCATGAAGCTGGTGAGGCTGGCAGTGTTACAGTGAGTGGTGACAGTACTATACTTCTGCAGGTGCAGTACTGGCAAGAGTAGATGACCTAAATCGTAAAGAGTCGAATCAAAACACATCAATGGTTCCGCAGTTGTCTCCCACAAAATCAGTTGGGCTTCAAGATTCATTCAATGCCAATACATCATGCAAACACATCACTGACTTATGATGTGTGTGTGCGTGCTCGTCGGACGCAAAGCAGCAGCAGTGACGCCATATAATATATGAACATCAGTCATCAGTGGCGGGCGGAACATCAGTGCCCTCCAAATCGGTCTCAACCTAATGTAGACGCTTGACAACCATCACCCTCCCAGTAGTGAAGAGGATGTTGCACTTCACATGAGGGTGGTTATGGTCCTCAAGAGTCTACATGAGCTGCCTCTGTCGCCTTCCCTCTCCCGCGTCCTGCCCACCACGTCGAGTCCCGTGCAAGCCGTGTGGAACGTGAGACCTGGCGGACGCCGAGCGCTCCGCGCGTCGCGCGTCGTGCTCTGCACGGGATCGCCGTGCGTCCGGTCGACGGCAGCTCTTCCCAAAGGTGGTCACCGAGCGCCGTGGGCGAAGGCTCGTAAAGGATTGGGATATGTTTTTCTTCAAGGGGGGCGGGCTAAAGAGGTTGATGGGTGGCGGTTGATAAGTGCAGCCCGCAAAGTGCCAGAAGAAATCGAAAGAATTTGAGGGGTTCGATTGACATCTGGTGAATGAATCCTATACGAAGCACATGTCTTTTCTGGTGGCAAGGTTGCTGTTCAAATTGCTTGCACTTGGCAGATCAAAGGGCCAAAGCTCTACTGCGTGGTGGTGTCTTACGCAAGTGGCTCTTTTATCACATGGAGTGTTTCATGTCGTAAACGACAGTGGCAACAGTACTTTCCGGATTGCCCAACCCCTGAAACTGACGTTGGAAACCCAATGGCCAAAAAGGAAATTAATAGTACATCTATGCATGGTGGGAGTTGACCACATGTTGTGAGTTCCCATGTCCTCATTTCCTCATTTTCTTGAACCACAACCACATCTCAACGTCTCCGCCATATCTACCTCACCTCGCCCCGCGCCCCTTGGCCCCTCAGCCGCCCCGGCCTTCGATCTCAGTGCTGCACGAGGACCACCGTCCGAAGACATCCATCGCCTGCCCCACGGCGTCGCCCACGGCGTCCTCCGCCGCCTGACTTCGGGCGGAGTTCGGGCGGAAGGAGGGGCGATGAAGGCGGAACGAGTTCCCGCAAGGAAGGTGCGGACCGAGACGACCCCAGCTCGAGCTTCACGGCGAGCTGTTTGGGACCAGACACCGGCCTCGCAATTGGAAGGCTCCAACTCTCCACGGGTGCTGGTTTGTAGTGAACACTTGGGGCAAAAGCAAATTGATGTGGCGTGAATATCCAATGCAATTTGCCAGGTCCCAACTTGCCAGAAGTGCAGCCTGCTGCAGCGTGGTAGGCTGCAAAGGAAAACCAAACACACAGCATCCAGGGGAGTCACGTCAGAGATTGAAAGGGGACCACACAAATTGGAGGGGTTGCGGAGCAAATGGACATGTCCTGGTGTCTTCAGTTCATTTGGGTCAAGTATCAGTGTGCTTAGCAGCACCGAGCCGCTATGTTAGCTGTTGTTTTTTCATATGGTGGCACAAATCACTTTAGTTGCATAATGGGGACCCAGCACTTCAACTGTTTTCTTTACGTTGACCACATGACATGGGATAAGCAACCAAAGAGATGCTGTCTGGGCACCCGTGGAAAGCCAGGAAGTACCCGTTGGATCCAACGTCTTCATTCAAATGTCGTTTGTGCATTGTAGAAAGAAGACAAGTGGTGGAGGGAAGTGATGGGAACCTGGAGCATGGCCACTACATCTCCCACCTGGATGCGCTTGATCGCGATGTGCAGTGGCCATGCCGGTGGCTTGGCCGCCATCAAGTGCCTGGGAGGCTCATGTCAGCTGGGCCACTGCAACATCCGTCCTCTCCCCAGCCACTGATGGATTCATCAAGAAGCTCACTCCAGCGGTCACATCGAGTTGTGTGGTTCAAAGCAACAAAAACATCTAGTGAGTGGATGTGAATGGCATTCCAACTTCCTCCAAGAACGGCACCCCTTCATGTAACGGCCGGATCCTCCATGGAACTGCTCTTCATCTGGATGGTCCTCACCCCAAAAAGGTCCACATGATGGGTGCGTACAGCATGATACCATGGTACAGCACGGGTCAAAAAGGGACCTCCACTCACCAAAGTCAAACGGTGGGATAGATTGGAGGTGGTTTAGAAGGGAAGGAGTTTTTTTCATCTCAAAAAATCTCGATTAAAAAAAAATATGCAAAAAAATGCAAATAAATGCAAATAAATGCAATATAATGCAGAAATATGCGATACTATGCAAGACCTTAGAACATACACATCGTACCATACTCGTCAGACATACGTTGGGAATCGTTGGAGGCACCCGTGGGCTTTGTCGACATTTTTCGGCCATAACCATGTGCATAGAATCCAATGCAATGAAGTCAGTGGCATGGGTCCAGGATCCACACAAAAAAGGTTGCTTATGTTAGGTTTCTTTCCAGGTAAATAATCCCCAGAGTTTACAAAACTCCTGGTATTTTGCGGCTAACTCTAAAAGCTGGGTTCCCGAAAGTAACCAAGTGGTAATCGAATAACAGCAGCAATTAATGACAATAGTCTTAGTCAGTCAGCTGTTTTCATGTCATATCAGTTGTTATCAGTTGTTTGTGGAGTGACTGATGGTTTCCCCTGTCATGTCTTGATTGTATCAGTCTTATTATTGTCAGTTGTTCATCGCTGCCGGCCGGCTTATGTTGGTTTCTTCGTGGTCTACGACCTGCTGTTTTGTTTTGTTGGGGGCTTAGTTCTGATATCTGTCAGTTGAATGGGCAACACCTAAATGTTGAATAGCATGTTTAGAATGCTCATGGACAATTGATGCGATGTTGAATGGACTTTTTGAATGGGCAGTTGATTTATGACGCGCATTCTTCTATGTCCTGAGGCGGGACCTTTGCTGGCTGCCCTGAAGTGCACGTCAAGGTCAGGATGGGCTTGTCTTTGAGTCAGTCTGTCAGTTGTTGGTCATTCATTGAAGATCAAGTGGTTTAGATAGGCTTGTTTCTATGCTTGTTTCACTGTTTGTTTTTTGTGTTTGGTCAGCGCACAGTGCGAGATTGCATGACATGATTGATGCCTGCAATTTTTGAGCGTCACTGCGATGGAGGCATGCCACAAGCCAAGATAACATGTTCTCGGGTCAATAAAGTATTAGCTGGCCTCCAGATCCAGAAGCCTCGAAGACTCTACATTGAATTAACATGGCAGCAAGATTTTAAACTGCAAATTAATTACAGTAAGAAAACTTGAAGTGTTCACTTTTACATCACTGAGACCATGACACTGAGACCATCAAGAGGCATTAACCATTATTAGTAGCACTCAATTCAACTACAATTTAGCATTCAATTCAGGTGTCACTGACACATCCAATTCATTCGATTGCCATTGAATGGAGCGATCGGTTGCTGTGTCCATCCTGAAGTGGGAAGGGCTTGAGAAGATCAGCAAGTGTCTTGGCTTGAAATCAAAGTACCAAACATTCACCTGTAACTGTAAATGCTGACAGGACAGCAGCAAACATTGTGTGACATGAACTTGTGTGTGAGCCAGTGCAAGTATCTAATTAATCACATATGATGTGTATCATCATTGTCAACTTGTTCAGCTTTTGTTTCACCATAAATGATGCCTTTGACTGGCAGTGTTTTGGTTTAAAAAGTCCAACGCCATTGTCCGCCAGGAAAGCGCAACAAGTGGCTTGGAGAAAATCAAATGGAGGGGTGAAACAGTGACTCTGAGCCTATGAAGTTCACGGAGGGTTCCCCGTTTTGTCTGCACACCCATGAGACAAACAAAAAGCAGTAGTCCAGCTGGACATAGTACACTCATCATTTCATGAGTTGAGGCATTGTACTTGCTTTGGAAGCTGGACAAATCCAAAGCAGTGGAGCTCTGGTGGCATGGCTGATGAATTTGAATCATTTGTCAGGCGATCTATCTTGTCAGCTGTTGTCAGTTGTTGTCACTTGAAACCAGCAGATAAAGTAAATGAATGAAGCTAACACAGTTACATGTAAAACTGTTTAAACAGGGTTGACATGAAAGTCTATCTATATATGGTTTAGCAAACCGTTGAGGAAGGCTAGTGCGCAAACCACTGTCAAAGTGCGCGTCAAACTCAAGTAAACCCGTTGGTTTTTGGATGGCACTGTAAGGAAATTTGTGCTGGAGAAGTTGGAGACAGATCCACAGTACTTCAAGAACGTCAACGGCTGGATCTTGAAATCTTGCAAGTCCGAGATTGAATTGCAACTTGGAATGGTTAAGCATCTGCACCTACTAACACCTTGTCAAAAGGAAGTTGCGAACAAAGTGGAATCCACAGTCGGGCTAGGTTGCCTTTACTTTCTTCATAGTTGAAGTGACGTTGTAACATGATGGTATCCTTATATTCAACCAGTCAAGTTTCGTCCATTCAGATTCAGGGACAACCTTTGCCTCGGCTTCACTGGGGATGGCGACTTCGGCGGCAGACGTCGTTGCAGCGGCAGCGGGAGCAGAATCTTGGTGTTCAGTTCATACGTCGTCGGCTGTTCGTGTCAGACTATTGGAGTGCTGTTACATGTTTGTGCGCGGCTTGTTTTGGCTGTTGGTGCCACCTAAACTCAGATGGCAGTAACTCAGATTGGTCAGTAATTAACTCAGATTTGGTTGGAATCAAGTTTGCTAAGCTGGAATCAAGTTAGATCATTAACTCAGTTTGGAATCAAGTTGGCAGTAACTCAGATTGGTCAGCTGTATTCAGCTGTTGGGTTCAGGGGTTGGATCACATGGGGACGATGACTGAGGTGAATGGAAATGAAATTGGCTTCGTTCCATTGAGATCGGGCCATTGGTGTCAATGGCCAGGAAGGGTGGTGATCCTTGGAGTGCCGAAGGAGTCCTGGATCACTTCAACCCGGTGGAGCTCGATTTCATCGGTGCAACATGACCTGTTGGTCTTGCTTCCGTGCCTTTGCCTGGGGTTCAACAGCTCTGTAAACATTTTGAAGTTTGTTGTTTGGCCAAGCATTGGCTCCAATGTTTATTTAGTTCACCAAAAGTTAAAGTGGCGCAAGGTTCCAACATTGCCATGACATGATGTGTGAACTCAGTGAACTCAGGAACTATGATAGCAAGGGCGGCAAGAAGGGCAAGGGAAAGCACAAGAAGGGCAAGGGAAAGGACACTGGCGGTGACTATCCAAAGTCATCTGGCTTTACCCAGGTGACTCAGGCATCAGAAGCTTGGTTGCCTTTAGCCAACAAAGTAGAATTGCAACCTTTGCCCTTCTTGTTACTCTGAGGGTTCTTAATGATTGTTTATCTATTTGTTTCCGGTTATATGAGGAGTTGAACTTAAGCGACAGTTGTGCTGTGACAACCTTGTGGCCTGAGGTGTACAAGCATTCGAACATGTCGTATGCACTGAACAAAATCTTGGAGAAGCCAGCCAACCTGATTCGGAGCCTTGGCGATGATCAGTCAACCTCTATATAGGAATTGAGTCCAAAGTCAGGTTAGATTTTAGTGACTGTGTCGTCCTGCTTGGGTCAAGATAATTCATTCGTCTCAGATTGATATACTCTTTGCCAAATAGATAAATATGTTCGAGAGTTGAACGAAGTGAGAAACTCACCACCTCCAACCTCCTGCGTCTCAGGATTTCATGCCTCAGTGGGTGGCATCGGACAGGTGCAGTCTGCGCTTTGCTGTGGGGCCTGTTGACGGAATCTTGGAACTGATGAGGAACATTGTTTCAACCATGTTTGAGACGAGTAGGCTTAATTTAGTGGGGTTTGGATTGTATTCTTGTTACTTGATATGTATGCCGCGCCTAGACTGGCTGCCCTCCAATCCTGTTGTCTAAGTTGTTGTGTTGTCTAATAAGTTGCAAGTGTCCGTTAGGTGTGAAAGTGATAGGTTTGCTGATATTCTCCCAGCGTGGGCCCAGGCTTGTGGCATCGATGTCCTTGTGGTGATGGAGAAGCTGTCCAGCAAGGCCAATGAGGATGCCAGGACGGCTGAGGCTTTCCTCAATGAGGAGATCTCGAGGAAGCTTGGGTTCAACAATGTCAAGGTTTAAGTTTTGGCATTTTGTCATATTGATGTCGCTGCTAACGCAGTTTTCTTTTGTTATTGTTGTAGCAGACTGCCTTAATTAAGGACAGATGCTTTGGTGAGAATCCTTCGAAACCACAGCATGGATGTGGACAGATTTGTTGAGATGGCAAACCAAGCAGTCACCACCTATCTGGAGCTGATGCCTCAAGAAGATCATGAGTGGACCTTTGGCTCAAAAGGTTAACATGTTGTTTCATTTGACTCTGGCTTGTAGGATTCGATTAGCGCAGGGTTTTCATTGACTATGCTATTCGCGGGAGTGAATCTTTTGAACTTAATCTCTCACGATGGTTAAATGTGGACATGTGACTGAATGACCGCCGACCGCCCAGGAAAGCTACATTGAGCACCTTTGCCTGCGCACCGGCCGTGTCGGACCCCGCGAGCCACAGCTGGAGTGTTCGTGCTCCCAATGCACCGCCTGGACCAGTCCATGCATTTCCACCGGCGCCGCCTTTGAAGAAGGTGACTTGTCACTGGGATGGCTTTTGTCGAGTCACAAACATGTGTGTTGTTTGAAACGTAAGTCAAACCGGGTTTGAACAGTTAAGGAAATGTTGTACTGAAGGTCTCATGAAATGAATGAAGTTTTGGTGGACTCATGATTCAGGTTTCAGTGCAAACACTTGCCCATGAGTCATGATATCATACGATGTACTCATCCTTGAGTCGCACTCACACTGGACAAAACACTA